TTTTTCAAACACATACCATGTAGTAGGCTGAAAAATGCCTCCACCAACCCCTTTTGCCCCACCAAATGTCCATGTCCCCATCCCCTAGAACCTGGGAATGTTACCCTAGGTGGCAAAGGGGACTTTTTGCAGGTGTCATTAAGGTAGGACCATGAGAAAAGGGGATTACCCTGGATTATCTGATTGGATTCTAAATGTAATCACAAGTGTCCTTATAAGAGGGAGGCAGAGGGAAGTTTAACTACAGAAGACAGGACCATGACCTGAGCACAGAGGTAGTGAAGATGGAGTAAGGTCCACAAGGCAGAGAATGTGCATGTGTCTAGAAGCTGAGAAAAGGCCAGGAAACAGACTCTCCCCTGGAGGCTTCAGAAGAAATAAGCCTTGGCAGACACTAACTTTAGCCCGGAGAAACTGATTTCAGACTTCTGGCCTTCAGAGCTGTAAGAGAAATTTGTGTTGTTTTTGGCCACTAAGCTTGTCATGGCTTGTTACAGCAGCCATGGGAAACGAATACACACTACGTACACCCAAGTAGAGAGAATAGAGTAATGGACCCAGGGTTGTATTTGGACTTACGTGGGCCCTAAGAATTTTTGTCCGATAAGAGTCATATCAAAGTTATACTCATGAGCTTCCACAAAATAGTAAAAGTTATATTTTACAACCATTTGGTACAAAGATGAATACATTCCAGGCTGGAGTAGTCACTATATTCATTTTTTTTTTCTGACTGATTTTAAAAGACATTAAAACATATTGCAAGAAACTCGTTTCTCCAAAAAGTTTCATGGGCCCTGGGCTGTTTCTGGCACGTGGTGGAGAAGTCAGCCCCAGATGGGCCACAAGTGCCTGACACATGGCCAGATGTGTTGATGGAAACCCCTTTTCCATCCTGGATTCTCCCCTGGGAAATCACAGACATGCTTACACCCCATCTCCACACTCCCTACGAGTAGGGCCTGGGCTTCAAGGACTCTTTTTCCTCAACTGAATCTATAATATCGTTTTTAGTTTTGTATTGAGATATAATTGATGTGTAATATTATGTTAGTATCACGTGTACAGCAATGATTGGATATGCATATATTTTGTGAAATGATCAGCTACAGTAAATCTAATTTAACATCTACCACCACAAAAAGTTACAAATATTTTTTCTTGTGATGAGAACTTTTAAGATTTGCTCTCTTAGCAACTTTTAAACATACAATACAGTATTATTAACTATAGTCTCCATGCTGTACATTATGGGCCCAGGACTTACTTGTTTTAAAACTGGAAGTTTGTACCTTTTGACCCTCTTCATCTATTATATTCCCCCACACACACACCCACACACTCCTGGCAAAGCATCCAGACTCTTCTTTTTTTAGACATACACCCAGCTCCAACTGCCTCAACTAAAACCATTAACAGTAATCCCTCAACAGCAGTAAATAGCTGGTTGGCATTCACATTTCCCATTGTTCTTATTTTCTTTTTCTTGGCTGCTTAGACAACAGATTTGGGCCCCACATCCCACTCATTGCCCCTCACTGTCCGTGGAACGATCAGAGCCCCGGTCAATTTTTTGTGTTTGGAGCTAGAGAGCAGGCTCAGAAATGTCCTGGTTTCTGTGCGTGGCCCATGTGTGTTTGTCAGTATCTTCACAGGTCTCTGGATGGTGGCCCACACTTCCAAGTCAGGGGAACTAACATGCCCTAACATGCTCCCCCCACACATACACACACACACACACACACACACAGGTCCTGAGCCTTCTCTCAACCCCTCACCATCCATGGTCATGGTCTCAGGCCACTGAGGAGGAGGCGGGACTCTCAGCAGCTGAAGGTCTTAGGTGGTCAGGTCCCAGAAAGAGAGAGGGACTCCTGCCTACCCCCTTGCAGATGGCGGCCCCTCTGGTGACTGTTAGAGAATTCAGTAGATGTTTGTTTTACACTGAAAACTATTTAGTAAGACACAGAAAATCAATAATTCAGCCAAACACACCAACCACATATTCCCAGCCTGAAAGTGAAGAATCTCATGCCTTAATTCTCTCCCACGGCACCCCACCCCCAGCTCCCACCCTCCCTCAGTCCCTAGTGCCTAGCAGTCTTAGCCCGGGTCTCTGGGGGGCCTTATATCCCCACACCTGTATCCCAGGTGGGTGACAGCAGCAGAAAGCAGAGACCAACCCAAGACAGGCCTTTCTGACATGTGCTTGACCTCCTGGTTGATTCTCACTTCTTGTTTTCCCAGCACACTTTCTTGAATATTGTCCATTTGTATTGAGGGGTGTCATTGTGTTCTTCCTCTAGCCACAAACCCTGAATGATCCAGCCACCACAGTGGAGGTTTGTCAAGCCCTTGCCAGGTGCCTGGCTCTGAGCACGTTGTGCAGATATCCCCTTTCAGGCCCAGAGAGGGAAAGCCCCTTGCCCAGGGCCACACAACAAGTAGGGCTAGCCCAGATGCAAAGCCAGGGCCGTACATTTCAGATCCTCACTCTTCAGCGGCAAGCTCTGAGACCCCACTTTGTGTGGGATTTGTGTGCCTATTGGTGGGATGGGTGACAGGAATGCTTTGGTGACAGATGAGACGTGGAGTCCTATTGCTGCTCATCACCCTCTGGGGGACTTGTTCTCAGGGACAGTGCAGCTACTAGGGGCAGGTCAGAACCCCACAGGTGATACTGACCTCAGTCCTCACATAGGGCCAGATGCTCTGTTTAATGCTATGCTGTTGCTGTGAACATCAGTGGTTTTCAAGTGAGGGTGTACTATTCAGGGTTTTCCACGGAAACAAAACCAGTAGGATTTATATAGACATAGAGAGAGATGTATTAAAAGGAACTAACTCACACGATTATGGAGGCCAAGGAGTCCCTGATTCGCTATCTGCAAGCTGGAGACACCAGAAAGCCGTCTTCAGGGCAGGGAACTTCATCTCAAGCCCAAAGGTCTAAAGACCACAGGAGTCTCAGTCTGAGTCCAAAGCCCAAGAATCGAGGAGGGGTTCAGTGTCTTAGGGCTGAAGGTGGCCGCCCCAGCTCAAGCAGAGAGCACAAATGCACCCTTCTGCCTTTGTGTTCAACTTGGGCCCTCAACGGCTTGGGTGATGCCCACCCACATTGGTGAGGATGATCTTTATTCAGACTGCCAGTACAAAAGCTAGTCTTCCCTGGAGACACCCCCACAGATACGAGAAATGATACTTTACCATTGTAAAGTATTGGGCCATCCCTTAGCTGATTGACTCCTAGAACTAACCATCACAAAGGGGCCTTGCGTTTTCATTTTGCACAGGGAGACCCTCGAATTATGTCTCCAGTCCTAGTAACAGTCCTCCGGGAATGTGCATTTGGGGTGTTAAATACAAAATGGAGAACAGACTTGAACATTCCCTGAGCAGACAAAACCACTTACCACATAAGTGAGACTTAATTTCGTGTGTTCTGCAAAACAAGCAAAACATAACCTGGGCCACCTCGTGCAAATACCTCTGATGATCAGTAAAGAAACTTGTCATCTTCCTAAACACAGTATAAGATAATCACTTTGAGCCAGCCCCTGCTGTCTGGAAACCCCTTTGTAATAACCATCATCAAGAAGGTTAAACGACCTCCTCATTTTCACTGTACAAGCCTCCAGGCTTCATATCAGTCTTGGATTTCAAAGCTCCCAGTTCGTAGACTATTCTTATTTGCACAATAAACTCTTACTAAATACTGTTTATTGGTTTGGTGGCTTTTTTTTTTTTTTGGCACCTTTTTGGGGAGGAGGGAGCGGTGGCTTTAGTTTTACTATTCTTGGGGTTTTGAAAGGAGGCAATGCTGTCCCTCTGCTGTGGTGGCACTGGGCAGATGGCTCTCTGGTGGCTGCTCCAAGCCCTGGCGGCGTGGGGCAGTTGCTGAGCAGGACTGTGTTTGCCATTCCAGGCATCGGAGCTGGGGCTCCCCCAGGAGGGCGAGTGGCTGCAGCCTGCCCAGCCCCAGCGGAGTCCCCACACCAGGGCGGGGGCCGAGGCATCCTGCACCCTGGGCTCACTCGGTGAGTGTTTGGGTCCTACGGCAATCCTGAGGGCTGGGAACGGATTTAAAGTCTGGCAAGGGTTTGACTATGCTGATGGCAGTGTTGGGGGGCTTTGGTGATGAACTCTATACCTTCCCCCAGAAATTGTGCACACCAGGAGTGGGGACTGATATCGCGCCCCACCCCTGCCCCCACAACAGCCCCTCAAACGTTTCCACCCCTTGACCAGGGCTTCAGCCTCCTAGCATGAAGGCAGACAGACTGAAGATGCTGCAGCATGGGGTCCCCTCAGCAGCCTGCCCAGGTGAGGACAAGGGGGCCCAGGGCCATGGGATCTGCCCCCCAACCTATCCCTTTATCTTAAGAAAAGAGAGGACTGAGGGCACTAAGGCCCTACTGAGTACAGGTTACGGGCTGCCTGCTCTTCTCAGCAGTCCCTGGGGGGAAGGAGGGCAGGGAGATTCCCAGAGTGTGGCCTCCAGCCCCTGCTCCTTCGCTAACAATTAACCCTTTTCCCTCACCCTCCCCAGGCCTGGGCTGCTCGCCTCTGAAGCCTAGTATCTGGGATGAACCTCCCTGTGGGCAGGTTGGGGACAGAGCCCTGAGGAACAGACACTCCCTCCCCAGGCTGGCCCAGGACGCTCCCCAGGCAGAAGGGGGTACCTGGCAGGCAGGGGCTGCCCCCAGGGACGCTGTGCTTCAGGGCACTGGAGGCCAAGGGCCTGCTCCCGAGGGGCCCCTGCACCCGAGCCCTCAGCCCGGCCTGGTTGCAGACCCCACCCTCCCAAGTGCTCAGAGCAGCAGTCCCCAAAAGAGACTTGGGGACAGCGATGCCCACCTGCCCTTACTCAAAGACACCAAAGCCTCCCCTGAAGAGGCGAGGCAACCGGCTGCTGCCCCCTCCTCGGGGCGCTCAGCGGCGACCCAAGTCCCCCCAGGGGCGCGGCCCTTCGCGTGTGCTGAGTGCGGGGAGGTCTTCACCTGGGTCACCCACTTCATCGAGCACCAGAAGCGCCACCTGGAAGAGGGGCCCTTCTCGTGCCCCGAGTGCGGCAAGGCCTTTCTGCACGCCTCCGTCCTGGAGGAGCATCGGAAGATCCACCTGCTGCAGCCGCTGCGCAAGAGGCCCCGGCGGGGCGGGGGCGAGGGGCCAGGGGAGGCCGGCCCGTTGGAAGCGGCGGATGGAGGCCCCCGCGCCCAGGATGCGGATGGAGACCCGCGCGGGGAGCCCTCCGGCCGCGAGCGGCCCTTCGAGTGCGGCGTCTGCGGGAAGGCCTTCCCCTGGATGGTCCACCTCCTCGACCACCAGAAACTGCACGCCACGCAGTGAGCGGACGCGGGCCCCGGGTGACAGCGACCCCCGGCGGACTCGTCCTGCAGGCGACCCGGGACCCGCCACCCCCGCCGCGTCCCCCCCGGTGACAGCGACCCTCGGAGGGCTCGTCCTGCGGGGCACCTGGAACCCGCTGTCCCCTCCGCCGAGTCCCCCGGGTGACAGCCACCCTCGGCGGACTCGTCCTGCAGGCGATCCGGGAGCCGCCACTCCCGCGGCCGCGTCCCCCAGGTGATAGCGACCCCCGGCGGACTCGTCCTGCGGGGCGACCCGGGACCCGCCGCGTCTCCCGGGCGTCGCCGCGCCTGGCGCTTACCCCGGGGGATAGCGACCCTCGGCAGACTCGTCTCGCGGGGCGACCCGGGACCTGCCGCGTCTCCCGGGTGTCGCCCCGCCTGCCACTTACCCAGGGTGACAGCGACCCTCGGCGGGCTCGTCCTGCGGGGCGACCGGGGACCCGCCGTCCCCGCCGCCGCGTCTCCTGGGTGTCGCCCCGCCTGCCGCTTACCCCGGGTGACACCGACCCACGGCAGACTCCCCCGGTGGGGCGACCCAAGACCCGCCGCGTTTCCCGGGTGTCTCCGCGCCCGCCGCGTTCCCCGAGTGACAGCGACCCCCGAAGGGCTCGTCCTGCGGAACGACCCGGGACCCGCCACCCCCGCTGCCGAGTTCCCCAGATGACAGCGACCCCTGGCGGAGTCGTCCTGCAGGCGACCCGGACCCGCCGCGTCTCGGGGTGTCGCCGCGCCTAGCGCTTACCCCGGGTGACAGCGACCTCCGAAGGGCTCGTCCTGCGGAGGGACCCGGGACCCGCTGCGTCTCCCGCGTGTCGCTGTGCCTGCCGCGTTCCCCGAGTGACAGCGACCCCCGAAGGGCTCGTCCTTGGGGGCGACCCGGGACCCGTCACCCCTGCCGCCGCGTTCCCCGGGTGACAGTGACCCCCGAAGGGCTCTTCCTGCAGACGACCCGGGACCCTCCGCGTCTCCCGGGTTTCGCCGCGCCCGCCGCGTTCTCCGAGTAACAGCGACCCCCGAAGGGCTTGTCCTGTGGAACGACCGGGCCCCGCCACTCCCGCCGCCACGTTCCCCGGGTGACAGCGACCCCTGGCGGACTCGTACTGCAGGCGACCCGGGCCCCGCCGCGTCTCCCGGGTGTCGCTGCGCCTGGCGCTTTCCCCGGGTGATAGCGAACCCCGAAGGACTCGTCCTGCGGGGCGACCCGGGCCCCGACGCGTCTCCCGGGTGTCGCCGCGCCTGGCGCTCACCCCGGGTGACAGTGACCCCCGAAGGGCTCGTCCTGCGGAGCGACCCGGGACCCACCGTCCCCGCCGCCGCGTTCCCCGGGTGACAGCGACCCCTGGCGGACTCGTCCTGCAGGCGACCCGGACCCGCCACGTCTCCGACTGTCGCCGCGCCGGCCGCGTTCCTTGGGTGACAGCGACCCCCAGCGCCGCGCTCAGCTGGCGGTCGGCCGTCTGTGTTCCGCAAGCTACAGAAGAGGAGTTTCGCCCGCGCCACCAGTTCCAGGAGCCTTTCCCGGGGCGCCAGGTCGGCCTCGGTGCCTTTGACCTGGCCGCCCTCCTGCGCTCCGCGGGAGGCTTACTGCCCGCCCAGGCCCTGGGAGCCTGGCACACGCATGGGGTTCTTTTATGTGGAACTTTCCTCCTTTTTTTTTTTTTTGTCCCCCCATTCCTTTTTCACGACAAAGTACACACAACATAAAACTTGCCATTTTAACTACTTAAAATGCACAATTCGGTGGCATTAAGTACATGCATAACGTTGTGCAACCATCACCACCATGTATTCTGGAATTCTGGAATATTTTCATCACTCCCAAAATGGGTTCCCCACACCCATTAGCAGTCACTCCCCATCTCCCCTCCCTCAGCCCCTGACACCTATTAATCTGCTTTCTTTCTGGATGGATTTCGGGCAGGGTTTTTAGGTCCAACCAAATCTGACCAGCACGTGATTTTGATTCACAGAATGACTTTTTTTTTTTAGATAAATGCCAACATTTTTCAAATCATAGATGTCACATAAAAATCTGGCATTATCGTCACCCTGGATTTCCCAAGAGCAGGTGTGGGGTCTCCCAAGCACCTCAGTTTACCCTACCACTTCTGGGGATGGCATGTGCGCACTTGGATTCGGCTTTTCATCCATCCCCAGATCTTCATCGCTGGGCACCACTTGCCCCATGTAAATGAAAGCCTTACAAGTTTTTTTGTTGTTTTATTTTGTTTTTTGAACTTTACTTGGAAATAGTGTTGGACTGACTCTGACCACATGTAAGCAGAGACCTTCTCCTTTAAATCATCCATAAGTTGCCTTTCAGCTGGAACAGCCTTTGGATCTGCCCTGCCCAGCCCACTGCTGCTTCTCCACCACGCGGCCTCCTGCACCCCACTTGTAGCTTCTGTCCCTAGCACCGTCCTGGGCCATGCAGATCCCTCCACTGCCTTCGCACCCTTCGCCGTGCTTGCCTTCTTGGAATTCTCACTAGCTGGGCCTCCAGACCTTGCTTGTGGCTCGCTCCAGCATCCTGGCTTATCCTCGAAGTCCTCACTGGGGGCTTCTGGCTCTACTCCATGCCTTAATTTCTTGTGGGCTCCAGCTCTTTCCTAAGCACCTTCTTTCTCATCCTGCTGACGCAGGGTTTCTTCCTTGGAGCTCAGGTGACAAGGGTAGGGGTCTTGGCCCTACAGTCAGCCCCTGATCCTTCAGGTACAGCACACATGATGGACAGGTTTGTTTAAAATGACAGGACATGTGGACAAAGAAATCTCAGTGTCCCCACTTGTTGGGGGCCAGAAGTTTATTCCAATGCATTTTTCATTCTAATTCCCCCTAAGCCAGAGGCACATTCACAGCTCTCTGGGTTGGAGCAGGATTGTACGAGAGAGTGGAGGCTGCTGCCCACAAGACGTCAGTCAGGCCCCTCACTGCCAAGGGCCCCAGCCATCCTCACGCTAACAGCTCCAAAGATGGGGTTCTCGGAAGATGTCTGCCCGGGCATCCCACAGACCAACTTCCCTCCAGAGACATCTGCCTGATGTCCCTCAGTCCTCCAACTGAGCTTGTCCAAAGAACTCTTGATCGAAAGAAAAACAACTGCCTCCCCTATGCCATCCCTCCACCCTCCAAGGCCCAAGGATCACCCTGTTCTCTTCTCTCCTCTGCACTTAACTGCCCCAGCCTCCCTTTCTTCTATCTTCTTTTTTACATCCTTGAACGTCTGCAGCTGCCTCTAAGCAAACTCTGCCTCCAGCCCATTTCCCTGCATTCCATCCAATACCAGCAGCCGCCAGGATCCCTCTGAAACAGCCACACTGAGATGACATAAAGCCCAGCCGACCAGTTCCCTCGAATCCCTTCCTGCTTCAGTAGCCCCCAGCGCTGGGGTGGTGTAGGCTGGCCTCCTGCACCCACTCTGTCCCTGCCTGTCTCCACAGTGACTCCCATGCTGGGCCTCCTCCCCTCCTCAAGGGCTGCCTCCTCTGCCCAGAACAGTCTTCACTGGAGCATTTTACTAGCGCCCAGCACAGAGCAGCCCTTTGCGAGTGAGAATGGGTGAATGGTAATCAAATGAGTAAATGAGCTGCAGCCACTGCCAAGACCCCACCTCAGGGCTTCAGTGATCAGCCAAGGAACCTTACTTGGACCTCTGAGATGGGGTGGCAGGAAGCACCACGGAAGGCCACCCTCAACACTATCTGCCTCGGCTGACACAGGCACGGATGTGGCCCAGGGTCCTGGCCCTGAAGAGTCACTCCTCAGAATCCCGATTCACCAAAGCTGCTAAATCCAGTTAATTGCCCAGCCTGCCTAGTCCCAAGATGCTGCTCAAGCTGTAGTGAGGTAGAACACCAGCCCCCCTCTTCTCTCTGCTCACTCCATGCATGCTTGGCTCACGCTCCGCTTTCATCTGCCAGTGTCCCCTGCAGGACCCCAACACCTGCCCACTGGGACACTCCCCAGCCTGTCTGTCCTCCAGCGCTTGTCACGGAGCATCTGCTGGGCCAGGTACTGGGTGCTGTGATGCAGTGCAAGTCCTCATCATCTCCCGCTCCAGAACCAGAGGCAAACATACCACCCTCCTCCCCACCACAGTCAGGGCCTCTGGGAGCAGAGGCCTGGGCACTGCTAGGCTTTGAGGCTCCCAAAATGATTTTTTTTTTTTTTAAAAAGGATGATATATATATACAAGGCTAAACACTGTAATATATTTAAATGTATATATCGAACAATTTAACAAAAATTGTGTAATGAAGTTGTGCTATCCATGACATGATTATAGAATTCCTTGAAACCTACACTGATTCCTAATGCAACTGCTCCTGGTGCCGTCCTGTCACAACCAGGTGCAGGCGACCCCTGAGGTTAGAGGAAGCTGAGATTGGCATAAGTGGGGCCCAGCCACTGGCTACAACATGGTCTGGAGGGGTGGAGGCAACACAGAGCTAGCCTTCAGATCATCTTGTTTAATTGATAGTGTTTTTAAACCCTTTGAATTTCCTGTGAATCAAGAGATTTCACACACAAATCCAAATCTTTGGCTTCTTTTGAGAAGTACAGACCTGGTACACTGGGCTTACCTGTTCACATGGCACCAGTTGGTTGAGACCATCAGCACCCATCCCTTTAGAGCCCAGCCCCTGCACGCATTTGAGTTTGTGAAAGCTGGTTGGAAATAAACAAGGATTAGGAGGGTAGAGGAAGGTAACAGAGGAGCAAGTCCCAAGGGAGCTAAGCAGGGCAACCTGGCTCAGTATTAGGGCGGGGGTATGTCCCCATGAGCAGGGAAGTCTGTGTGGCACCACAATCAACAGCTCATTACCAGGACTCTGAGCAGACCTTTTGGGGAAAAGATTTCATCATGAGTAGTGTGTACATGCCTTCTGATACAGTAAAAGGAGGGTGGGGGAAGAGTACACATTTTGTGGAAGAAAAAACTAACAGAAAAAATAAGTCTCTTTTTGCATTTTGGTTTGCAGGTGAAAGAAGTGATAACTGGCATTTTATGTATATTTTAAAGCCTTCATACTGTAGTACAGAGAAGAGAAGGTGGGCTTTCAGTATGACAATCACAAATGTGGGCCTTTATAGTCTTTGAATGTACAAAACACTTTAAAGAAAAGCCGTTAAGTTTGTCTTTGCCTTGTTTACATCAGTGCATTCTGATTTTGAGCCATCCATCATATTTTTTCATAACAACCACTGCTGTTGGGCTTACGAAATTTAAAGTCTTTTACTCATTGAGAACCAGCCTAATATTTTAAGTGTCTTTATGTGTAAAGAAAAGGTATCCAGCTAGGTTTTTCCCTAACGTGAGAATTCCTACTGTCTTCTCTGCTGTTTTCAGAGTTGTTTCAAACAAATTGTTGTTACAGTCAAAGAAAAAATGCCCTTGCCTTGACACTTTTTCTCAGCTTCAAATCCAGCATGCAAGCCCTGACTTGAATCAATTAGTCTTTCTTAATGGGGCAAGTGCACATGGCTCAGCCTTGGTTGGACTCTTTCCACTCACTGCTCTAGGGATGGTCCATGCACATCAGTGAAAGGAAGTCTGGCTTGAGTGGGTGAATGGCGAACGCGCACACCTTGTCCCCTGGCGCCTGGTCCACCGTTGGCTGCTGTAACCTGGGCCCAGCGCCTGGCAGGCCTTGGTCAACGTTCGGCCAATGACGAATTCTGTCAATGAGGACACATCAGCTTTGAATAGTATGCTGCTGTTCAAATGCACACATCTGACAATGATGTAAAACGTGTCTACCACGGGATGTTTCTACAACCACGTCCTAAATACTGCAAGGCAGGGTCGGCGTGGCAAAATGTAAACGGCTCCTGTTATTTGGCATCTTAGTGGATGTATCTGTTTTCATTTTGTGTGTCATTTTCGTGTCTTGCACACTTTGTTGTTTCTTGGAAACACCAGTTTGTTCTACAACAATAAAGTTTACGGCACAGTTTCCAATACGAAAGCAGTATGTCGTTGCTCCGAGAGGACTCACCTCACTCACAGGCCCTGCCCACGCGGCCTCAGCCCGGCTGCGCCCTCCTCGCGGACACTGCTCCTCGGGATCTTCCCACGGCCTCTGCTCAGCGTCCTCCCCGACCCCCCTGACCACTCCGTCTACACTAGTCCGCGGCCAGTTACCGCTGTAAGAGCGCGGGGGCGACGTTCGCGGGGCCCACGGCACAGCCCGCGGGGACTGGACACTCGTGACCACGCCATGAGCACGGTCGTCGAAACTCGAACTCGGTTCCCCCACGACCGGACGGCTGGGGCCGAAGTGCACGGAACCCGCGCGTGGGCCTCTGGAAGTTGTAGTTCGGCGCCCGCCTGCGCAGGCGCAGTCCCGGTCAAACGCGGGCGTGGCCTTCGTCCGGCCATCAGACAAGGGAATGCGGCGTGGAAGGGTTTTGGGGCGGGGAGGCGAGGCGAGGCTAAGGCCGGCGGGGGTCCTCGAGGCCGAGCTCGTACTCCGAACGCACGAGCCACTGCCCCGGGCGGGGGCGAGGCGAACACGGAAACAACCGGAAGTGCGCGCGCCGCCCTCTGGGAGATGTAGTTGGGCGCCGGCCTGCGCAGGCCCAGACCCGGCTGGTGGCGGCCGCGGCCTTTGTCCTGCCGTCCGGCTGGTGAGTGAGACTGGGGTGGTCGGAACGGGGGAGGCCGAGACGGGCGGGCATCCGGGGTCTTCCCGCGTGCGTCTGTAGAGCCCCTTTTCCTGCTTTGGGCCCGGGGCTGGTTGCTTCGGGGGCGGTGGGGGCGGTGCGGGCGGTGCGGGCGCTGGGGGCGGGGCCTAGTGGGCGGGGCCCGGGTTGGGGGTGGGGGTGTCTCCGGGCTCGAGAGGAGGAGTTGGGGCGAGGGTGCGGCCCTGGCTTTGGCAAGACGGGTGGGAGCCTCCGGCTTCGGGGTCACAGATATACTAGCTGGTCCGACCCTTCAGAGACTGGAGCCAGCCTGACCTGCATCCTTCCCCTGCTTTGGTGGGACGTCCGGGCCTTGGAGGCCCCACTGCGAAGTCATCCCTGGAGCTTCATCTTACCGAGCGGCCTCTTAGGATGATCGTGAGGGAGACCAAAGCGCAACACTTTACTCCTAGCCGCCTAGGACCCAGAAAACAGACTCATTATGTTAGTCACTGAGTACCATCCAGGCTCCTTCATTAATTCAGCAAGCACGTATTTACATGTCCTGGGTGCCGGGCCCTATCCTAAACCCAAGAGCCCCGAATATTGTCTCAGACCCCAGAGCCCCCAGGAGAGTCAGGAAAATGGTAAGAAACCTGTCGACACATCACTCAACAAGATAACTCCCATCCTGGAAACTGCTGTGCAGACAACAGGACACAAGTGGGATGGGACAGACTTGGGTGCACAGGAAGCATCATCAAGGGGAGGTACAGAGAGACAAGGGGAATGCTCACTACCTTTGGCCTGAGTTTCATACAGGGCACTCAGCCAGGGATGAGGGCCCTGCATGTTGTGGATGCTAAGTAGATGCTCGCTGAAGTAAGAGGCTTTCTTCCCGCACCGACTGCCTTCATGTGTATACTGCTATGTGTCAGGCTCCATATTCAGCCCTTGCCACACCCTAATTCCTATAATCTTTGTGCTGGGTCACCACTCTCATTTTATAGGAGGGGGAAACTGAGGCAGTGCCTAACATCTCCATAACCATCTAGCTTTCTGTCATAGTAACAGAAATAGTCATCACCCACCTAGACAACTGGGGGTGTGCCCCTTGCCCGCCCGTGGCCCTCAGTTTTCCTATTTGTGAAATGGGGTAGGAAAATTCAAGGTAATCTGTCAACAATGCCTCGAATAGTACTGGGCACACAGCAGGTGCTTGGAAAATGCCAAGCTGAGGTTTCAGTGCTGTTGGGTTTGGCCTGGGTGCAGGGCTCCAGGCTCTAGCAGCTACAACCCCTCCTACTTGCACACAGATTCCAGGGTGTGGGGCTTCTGGTCACCACAAGCACTCGCCCAGTCTCTCGCATCCCCTTACCCCCAGAACTGCCTGCAGAGGAGCTGGTTGTTCCTGTAAGAGGCCAGAGGAGGAGGGAATGACTGCTGGGCTCCTCGCTGCCGGGGCGCCGGTGAGTACACCACCACCCTCCCATCAGGCCTCCCAGGCTTCCTCAGGTCCCCACCAGCGCATTCTGCTCTCAGGGCCTTCACCCTTACTCTGCCCCCTGCCAGGAATGTGCTTTGGCCAGCTCCATCTTCCTCCAGATCGCCCACCTCACCACCTTTGAGAGGATCTTCCTGATTCCTTCACCTGCCCTGTTCTACCCTGGCAGACGGCACTCAGCCATTCCACTGATGTGTCTGGCACTTTCTCAACACAGGGTTCTGGTGTGTACTCCCAGCTCATTCTCTCCATCCAGTCCCTTAGGCGACAGGGACTTAGCACCTGCCACTGACCAGGTGCCCTCCCAGGCACTGTTGTAGGAACTGCAGGTACAGGAACAGACGAGCAAAAAATCACCATCCCTCTGGGGCTTACAGTCCCTACGAGGAATATCAATGTGCCAAGTGTTGTGCAGGGAAATGAGGCCCAGAAGAGGGTGGGCTTGGGCACCAGGCATTAGCCAAGAGAGCCCAGAAGGCCTCCCTGAGGAAGCGGCCCCCAAACAGAGACCTGCAGGGGGGTAGGCAGTGAGATCAAGGCCCACAGGAATAACGTTCCAGGCTGGGGGAATACCATGAGCAAAGGCCTGGAGGTGGAACCAACTGGGCACTTTCCGTAAGGGGCAAGCACACACATGTAACAGGAAGACTGAGAACAAGGTCTCCTAGGCCCAATGCCGGGGGCTTAGGGCCTTGGGAAGCAGTTCTGATCATCTTTGCCACGTGCAAAGGCCCAGAACACTGTAGGCACTCAGTGAATGGGTGGAAATGTGCCAAAGCCTGAGGTCAGTGCTGGACACACTTCACCTTATCCTGCCCCAAATCAGCCCCATGAGGTTGGAAGGAGGAAACTAAGACCCAGAGGCACGTCACAGCCCTGAGGCCACACAGCTGGGAGTGGCTGAGCCAGGCCTGAGCCTCAGGACGCCTGGGCCCAGGTCAGACCACGTGCCCCCACCAGCACCCCCAGCACTCAGCAAACATCCCACTGCCTTCGCGGCTCTTCTGCCAGACCTCTGCGTGGCTATTCCAGCAGCGCCCTGCCCATTTTCTCTAGAGCACTCACCCCCCTGGGATTTCATTTTTTGTCAGCGCCCAGACCCTGCAACTAGCACACGAGCATCACGTGGCCAGGTGTGTGTCTCTTGTTTCCCTGGCATCTGCGGTGCCCAGAACCATGACCTGCGCTCACTAGGACTCTGCAGATAACCACTAAGACCTATTGAGTCTGGAAAATATAGCAGAAATGGGGAAATTGGTGAAAGAAAATAAAACCTCCCCAAGCCCCCCAGCACACCTACCTGAACGGTGGCTCACACAGGTAAAGCACACACTCTGTGCCAGGCCCGGGGCACACACATCATGTGAATTCCCTTACTCCTCCCAACAGCCTTCTCGGGGAGTTCTCACAAACTCACAGATGAGGGCAGGGAGGCGCAGAGCACTTTAAAAGATGGACCTGGGGCTGGAGTTTGAAGCCCAATCATCTGGGTCCAGGGCCGAGTCTTGATAGTGCCACCCCCCAGATGCCTAGTTCATACCCTCTGCTGCCCCACATCTCCCCTTCTCTGGTGGGAGAAATGTTAGCAGAGGCAGATGCTGCCCGTTGGGCCAGGATCCAGTATTTAGGCACCCTATGTCTTTGACACCCAACGTCAAGGTGAGGGCCGAGACTTTGCCTCTGCTCCCCACATATCTCCCCTCCCCCTGCCATCTACAGCACTTCATTTGGTGAGATGAAACTGCCTTTGTGGAGGATGTCCGCCCCTGCCCCTCATGTGCCTTTAAGAAAATCATAAATTCCCCACCCAGTCACGGAAGAAATGGGCCTTGTGTGGGATTTCAGAAAACACAAGTGTGGGAGTGACGGGATCACCCAGGAGCCACCATTAGCCTTTCTCCTTGGGGATCATGTTTTTACCCCAATATGTAAACGTCCAAAATCAAAGACTAGGAAACGGTTCCCAGAGGTCCCGTTACTGGAGACCCCCCCTCATTGGGCTCACCTGCTTGTTCCCACCACTCCACTGGCTCTTTTCTTTCACCTCACATTGTATTCAGGAATCGTCATGCACAGCGCAGATTTACATGAGTCTGCGGCTTGGTGACTGCAGGTATGGACAACAGGGAACATTCTAGCTGATGCGTGGGAGGTTTTCTGTCACCCCCCTTGGTCACTGCCATGATGGCATCTCAGGGGTGCTTGCACGACTGGGGTGTGTCCTCTTACATCCTAAGACCCCCTTTCCTCCAGCAGAGCCCCCAGGCCCCCCAGGAAAACCGGGCCCAAATCCTCAGACCTGAGAAAACCCCTCCCCTGCTCAGCTTGGCTGTCGCTGTCCAGTAGCTGCTCCCACTAGCAGCCATTGCCAGGCTTGGCCTAGGTGAGGACATTTGTATGTGACATTTGTTTCAGGAGCAAGTGACCTTTGAGGACGTGGTTGTGGACTTCACCCAGGAGGAGTGGGGGCAGCTGGAGCCTGCCCAGAGGACCCTGTACCGCGATGTGATGCTGGAGACCTTCAGGCTCCTGGTCTCTGTGGGTAAGGCCACACCTGAACCCCCGATGGTCTGCCCCCAGCACAGATTCTAATTCTCCTGGGTTCAAAGTAGGGGTAGGTCTAGGCCTTAAAAGCAAATACCTGGGATGAGTTTTGGGCCTTAGATTCCTGATGTTTGGTTGCAAGTTACAGATCCCACCTGAAAATGCCAGAAGCAGAAAATCATGGGGAAGAGGGCCACAGTGGGTCCTGTGACTGCAGAATCCCAGGGCAGACCTGAGTTTTCCTGTGGCCTTTCAGGAGTCCCCTCCCTCTGGGTCCAGGGCCGAGTCTTGACAGCGCCACCTCTTTCTGCCTCCGTTCACAGATGGGCCCCCGGGAGGTGAGGAGAGCTGCCACGGCGCCTCTTCTGTGTCTGAGACCAGCCAAAAAGACAGGGTCTGTGTCCCGGGCCCCCATGGAAGGCCCGTGGGTTGTCTTGTGTGGCAGCCTGGCCCCCTCCGTGCTGGTCATTGTTGCCAGCGGGCGGGGGAGGCAGCAGAGCTTGGACTGGCCAGGGCTGGGTCACACACCCCCCCGAGCCAGGGTTGGGGTCCCTCCAGGGCCTGACACCAGGGCCTCTTCCACAACTGTGGCCTCTGGGGACTGCAGCCAGGTGGGTCCCGCAAGAAAAGTGGAGTGGACAGAGGGCTGAGGAGGGTCCTGGAGCACAAAGGCGCACCCGTGGGTTTCCCCTTGAGCAGGATGCTGGCTCCCCAAGCTGGATGTTATCTCCCTGCTGGAGCAGGAGGAGGAGCTGTGGGCGGGGGATGAGGGGTGCCCCCGGGTACGTGCTCCGGTGAGGGGAGAGCCCTGCAGGGCTGGGAGGAGCCCATTCTCCCCTGGGGCACTCTCTCTCCCTATCTCCTCTGGCGTTCTTCCGAGCAGACTGACTACTCAGTCTTTCAGTAAATGTGCCCCAAGCACCTGTTCTGCTGTGAGTGAGACCTTCAGTGAATTCGCATTCTTGGTGAGGGAAGGGGCACGCAGTAAAGAGGTAGAATAAGAGCTGCACAAGACGCTCACGGCGGATGATGAATGCTGAGGAAGTAAACATGGGTCACAAAGCAGAGGCCAGGTTGTGCGGAGGACCTGAGCAGAGATGAGGCAAGCCTCTCCAGGGAGGTGACGTGTGAGCCATGAGTCATGAGAACAGTGCCACCACGAAACAAGCTGGCAGAACAGAATTCCAGGCAGAAGGAACAGCAGGTGCAAAGGCACCGGGGTTGGGCAGCAGCCTGCTCTTCCTATGTAACAAACACTCCAGCGTCAGTGGTTTAAACCACAGAATCTTTTACAACTCATGTATCTGTGGGTCGGTGGATCCAGTCTGGGCTGTTCCACGTGCCCGTGGGGGCTGTGTTCTTCATACATCTTATCCAGCTCCTGAGACCAGTACCAGCTCTGCAGGAGATGGGGCTTCCTGGCACTGGTGTCAGGCCCTGACCCAGTTTAAGCAGCAGCCCATCACCAGGGCCCAGGAGAAACGGCCAGTGTGTGGGAGGGGGTCACAACTGAGTCTCTCCAGCTTCAGGAGTAACCAGCCCTTACCTAGGATACTAGCTTCTTATGACTGTTGTAACAAAGTACCACAAACTTAGCGGCTTAAAGCAACACAAATTATCTTCCTGTTCTAGAGGTCAGAAGTCCAAAACGGGTGTCACTGCACGACAGTGCAGGAGACGGCAGGCAGTGTTCCTTCTGCAGGGCGTGGCAAGAACCCATTTCCTTTCACTCTCCAGCTTCCAGAGGTGCCCGCATTCCTTGACTCACAGCCTTGTCCATCTTCCAAGATCTGAGGTCTTCTCCCAACACTCTGGCCCCAGCCCTCCTACGTGTCTCTCTTTCACAGATCAGAACTCTTGTGATTGCCTTGGGCCCACCAGGGTAATCCAGGGTAATCGCAGAGGATTAGCTAATGTCAGAGGACTAGCAACCTTCCTTCCTCACTGGTTCCGGGAATTAGAATGTGGACATGTTTGGGAGCCACTATTTTGCCAGCCACACCTGGTGTGACCTTTTGTTTTTTCTGAACACTTCATTAGAGCCTAACGTAAACGGGCAGGGTGCCCACCTCACACCTTTAGGCCGGTCCGGTGTTGGGGTGGGGACGGCATGCACTGAGGCCATGGCTGTGCAGGGCAGACTGGGTACCAGGGCCAAAAGGCAGTCCTGCCAGGAAGGAGGAGGAAGGGATGCGTTTGTTTGTTCGTTCAGCATGTCTGCCGGCCTCTGCTGTGGGCGGGGGTGCAGTGGTGACCACAGTGGACAGAAGCCCTGCCCTCAGGGAGCTCCCAGGGGGTGAGACAGACCCGAAAGACCAGACCCAAGTCCTCTTGTTCGCCTCAGGTCATTTATCCCTGCTTCTGGAGACATACATCTCAGCTGTCTCCAGGCTGGGGGAGCTGGTGGTTTCTTTGCACCTGGCTGACTTGGAACAGCAGCAAGAGACCACCAAGAAGAAACTGGACCTGAGCAGTGGGAGGGCTGGGCTGGCTGGTCCTTCACCAGGAGGCGGCTCTCCGCCGTCATCACCTGGCACCTGGAGGCTGCTTTTGCCAGGGCCTGGGGCATCTGTCGGCAGCTTCCCCAGATGCTCGCTGTCTGCCCCACACCTCTCCTTGTCCTCATTGCGTGTGCTCCCCTTGCAAGCGCCCTTCGTGTCTGCACGCCAGGTCCCCCACCCCGCTGCCCTCTGCTTTCTCTCCTGCTCTTGTTCCTTCCCTGATTTGCAAAGCTGTGTTTTTAAGTGGTCAAAGCCACCTGTGCCTTCAGCCTTTCAAAACCATCAGTTTTAGTCTTTAGCCACCCACCCACCACAAACTCTTCCCCCCAAACTGAAATTAAGGAACATCTCCATTTTTGTTCCTTTTAGATTTGGAAACTCGACCCAAAACCAGACTGTCAGCTCCAAAGCAAGACATCACTGAGAAAATAGCCAGCAGTGTCCTAGTGGAAAGGTTCCTGTGGGATAGTCTGTGGTACCCTGAGGGTGACGATGCCGAGGGCCACCGGGGACAGGGTCATGAGAGCCGAGACAGCCATGTGGTGCGAGCAGCCTTCACGCCTGTGAGGACACCCATGCAGCAGCAGCAGCAGCAGGGGAATGGGTTCGGGGAAAACTTGATTCTGAACCCCAGTCTCCCACCTCAGCCCCTGACTCCTGAAAGACAAGGCCTCCACATGCTGGGGACACGCAGGAAGAGGGGCAAGCCAGACCCAGAGTTCAGTGCTCAACAGAAAGCAGACGCAAAGGAGAAGCCCTACAAATGTCAGGCGTGTGGAAAGGCCTTTAGTCACAGCTCAGCACTTATTGAGCACCACCGAACGCACACAGGAGAGAGACCGTATGAGTGTCACGAATGCGGAAAAGGCTTCCGAAACAGCTCAGCACTTACCAAACACCAGAGAATCCACACCGGTGAGAAACCTTACAAGTGCACTCAGTGTGGGAAAACCTTCAACCAGATTGCCCCACTGATCCAGCACCAGAGAACTCACACCGGGGAGAAGCCCTACGAGTGCAGCGAGTGCGGAAAATCCTTCAGTTTCAGGTCCTCCTTCAGTCAGCACGAGCGGACTCACACCGGGGAGAAGCCGTACGAGTGCGGCGAGTGTGGCAAGGCCTTCCGGCAGAGCATCCACCTCACCCAGCACCTGCGAATCCACACGGGGGAGAAGCCCTACCAGTGCAGGGAGTGTGGCAAGGCCTTCAGTCACAGCTCTTCCCTGACCAAACACCAGCGAATCCACACGGGGGAGAAGCCCTACGAGTGCCATGAGTGTGGGAAGGCCTTCACGCAGATCACACCGCTGATTCAGCATCAGAGGACCCACACGGGAGAGAAGCCGTACGAGTGCAGTGAGTGCGGGAAGGCCTTCAGCCAGAGCACGCTCCTGACTGAGCACCGGAGGATCCACACAGGGGAGAAGCCCTACGGGTGCAACGAGTGTGGGAAAACCTTCAGCCACAGCTCATCGCTCAGCCAGCACGAGCGGACACACACGGGAGAGAAGCCGTACGAGTGCAGGCAGTGTGGGAAGGCCTTCCGGCAGAGCACACACCTCACTCAGCATCAGAGGATCCACACGGGGGAGAAGCCCTATGAGTGTGGCGACTGTGGCAAGGCCTTCAGCCACAGCTCATCCCTCACGAAACACCAGCGAATCCACACGGGGGAGAAGCCCTATGAATGTAACGCGTGTGGCAGAGCCTTCAGCCAGCTCGCCCCCCTCATTCAACACCAGAGGATCCACACGGGAGAAAAGCCTTACGAATGTAACGCCTGTGGCAGAGCCTTCAGCCAGAGCTCCCTTCTCGTAGAACACCAGAGGATTCACACCAAGGAAAAGCCCTACGGGTGCAACGAGTGTGGAAAATCCTTCAGCCACAGCTCATCACTCAGCCAGCACGAGCGGACACACACTGGGGAGAAGCCCTATGAATGTCAGGATTGTGGGAAATCATTCAGGCAGAGCACCCACCTCACTCAGCACCGGAGGATCCACACGGGAGAGAAGCCATATGAGTGCAGGGACTGCGGGAAAGCCTTCACACACAGCTCGTCCCTTACCAAGCACCAGAGAACTCATACTGGGTAGGCCCACATCACACTCGCTGGGACATGGGACAGCCTTAAGTCATAGCTCATCCCTTACTAGACTTGACCCAGTCATTCTCCATGGAAACAATACAAGTTTATGCATATGCAAGCCCTCGCACACAGTACATGCCCCAGACACCCTCAGAGAGAAATGACTGTGGGGATGTGGAACTCTAGGTCATCCATCCCTGGATATCAGATCATCCAGACAGTAGTAGGGAAATGTGGAGTTAATCAGTGTTGAGGACCTTCAGTCATGAGTGCCCACTAATGCTACATCATAGAACCTAGAAAAAAGAGAAATGGAAAAAAAAAAAGTGGATCTGGAGATGGCTTCTGTCCAAGGATTCATGATATTCCAAACTAGAGATTTTCAAAGCAGATGCTTTTTATATACAAGAACCAGATACACTCAGAATTTATCATTATTGCACATTACATTCTTGGGAGGGGTGCTTATGAATGGTGCAAGGTGACTATAAATTTTTCTACAGGACTCACAGGCATTAGAAACACAGATGTTGCTGTTTCATGAAGATATCCTTTGTTAAGCCACCATCTTATGAACAACAGCACCTCCACATTGGAACCTTATGTTTTGCAAGGTTTATCTCTTTTGAGAAATGTACAAGGTAATCCTCTCTTGATTGTTTTCATTGATTCTTCTTTCTGGTTTTTAGACAAGCTTTTGTTTTTGTATAGTTTATCTTGAAGGTCCATAGTATTACATTAAATCCTGAATCCACTAACAGCAGTCACCCTGACAACCACGACCCTTGAATGGTGACTTGCCATCCTCATTAGAACCCATATTTAAATTACATTGGCTGGATTTGGTCACCAACCATCAGGGTTATATCAGGCTTGGTTTTCCAGTCACAATGCTGGGATGTAAGTTTCCAGTTAACTTGAAATTTCTCCCTTGGGGGAAGGACATTACAGATAGTCTTCCAACCGTCCCCAGTATATGCTTGTGCAATGCCTCCTCTCCCTTTTTTTTGGAATTAATCTCATACTCATTTATAAGCCACTTAAGAAGACAGCCATCTCTGGTAGAAACAATGCAAGCCACATTGGTAAATTTAGCTATTGTCATAGTTCCATTTAAGAGGCAAGAAGAAACAGGTGAAATAAATATCTGTCCCTGTATATCCCAAATGTTACCATTTCAACGTGTCACTCTAAAAAGCCACTGATACGGTATTTTGCTTGCTTCTGTATAGTACATCTTTGAAATCCAGCATATATATTGTTTGCGGCACACCTCAGTTTGCTGTAGCCTCCTTTCCGGTGTTCATTTGCCAGAGGGAGCCAGCCAGTGGCTGGACTGGACTGGACTGGGTGGCTCAAAAGCCTCGGTCTTCTGGTCAGCCCTTTCCCTGGGCTTCTATCCTTGTGTTGCGTCTTGTCCTCAAGGAAACCAGATGTACTGAGAAGATGAGCTTCTTTAGGTAAATGGCATGACAGGCTCCTACCCCTGAATCTAGTGTAGAAAATAGGTCATGCCAGTTGTGCACAGTTCAGACTCTCTAGGATGATACTTCTCATCGGAGAACACTGCCTTTGGAAAACATGTTAGGGCTCCTCTATTCGAGTTCAGTTGAGTAAAAATGGAACCCAACCACACTCTTGTAGTCCTTTGAAAATGCCGGATCACTGAGAAATCGAGTCACACAAGCTTCTGTTGTCCTGCCCCCACAATGACACACACAGGAATACAGCCCGGAGTTGGGGACCATGAGGAGGTGCCCACAGTGTCACATCTCCCCTCCCTCGGAGATGAGCATTCCCTCCCTAGCAGGGCCACACCAGTGGAGGGAAGTTGAAGTTAAACCCACAGTGTCAGAAAAATGGCAGGGGCAAGCACATTCCTTACCAGAGGGCCTCACTTACTTGGAGAGTTGCTGGTATGTCTCAGTTGACACAAAAGTTGAAGACCAACAAGGAAAAATGAAGGGTGTGAAATAGAGATTCAGAAGAGGCCATGCAGTTTCCGCCTTGCTCACTGGGATGCTTGTGCTTGTAACCCTGAGACACCACGTAAGAAGTCCAACTGCCACCAGGCCTCCGTGCGGTTTCCTCAATACTTTTAACATCCCACCTAGGGCCAGAAAGGATTTCAGCATCTCATTTTATGTAGCTTTCCTCTTGGCTTTAATTTTTTAAGAAAACTCATCATGGCTAAAACTTAAGACTCAAGGTATACAAACGTCATAGTGGTTCTTAGTGTGATTGGGCTGTTTGCTTTCCAAAGCAGTCACACTGGTTGACAGTGATTTACAAAGCTCTCAACCCAGATCACGATGGAAGGCCTGATTAGTCGGCTCAGGCTCCCACAACCGAGTACCACAGGGTGGGGGCTTAAACCACAGTAAATAATTTTCTAACAGTTCTGGAGTTGTTCTTCGCTGGAAGTCCAAGACCAAGGTGCTGTCAGGGTTGGTTTCTAATGAGACCGCTCTTCCCAGTTTGTAGATGGCCACCTTCTCACTGTGTCTGCACGGCCTTTCTTCCATGCACACGATCAAAGAGCAATCTCTGCTCTGCCTCTTCTTGTAAGGCTATCAATGCTATGGGATTAGGGCCCCACCCCTGCCACCTCCTTGTGGGCCCTATCTCCAAATACAGTCACATGAGGGGGTCAGGGCTTCGGTGTATAAATTTGGGGGGTGGCAATTCAGTCTATAACAGAGGGTATTTAGCATCTTCTTCACATTGAAATTTATTCCCATCTTGCCAGTTTTCCATTTGTGGGATTTGCCCCTCCCTGCCCACTCTGAAGTCATCCTCGGACACTCTGTGGAAACTAGCCAGGAACTCCATTCCATTCTTTGTGCCAGTGCATCTGGGTCTCTCTCTTGCCCTCCAGATACCATGTCCTTTTTGAGTCGTGGCTCAGAGCTCCATGATCTGTACACTTTCCAGCCCTCCCAACTCCACTGGAGAGACCAGGGCCACCTTCTTGTGCTTTCCATCACATACATTTTTTTTTTTTTTTTTTAGATTTTATTTATTTATTTGACAGAGAGAGAGACAGCGAGAGAGGGAACACAAGCAGGGGGAGCGGGAGATGGAGAAGCAGGCTTCCCGCGGAGCAGGGAGCCCGATGCGGGGCTCGATCCCAGGACCCCAGGGTCATGACCCGAGCCAAAGGCAGATGCTGAACAACTGAGCCACCCAGGCTACAAAGATGTAGCCACCCCTGCTACATCTTTCTCAATGAGCAACATCCCTACCCCTTTGGATGGGAGACCCTCTGCACAAACCCAATGCCTCTAATGCCCAAACTAACCCAGTGTCCTCTGAGATTAACAAGTGGGAATATCTGGCTAAATTTTTTTGTCTCTCTAGAACAAATCATTGGTGTGTTCTACCATGCCTTGGTCAGGATGGTCGTGGCAGGGGAAGAGCAAACAAATCCTGACATCTTTTCAATGGGTTTGGTTTTTGTAGTGGTTTGAGAAAAGCCAATAAATGATTCTGAGAGGTATTTTAGAGTTTAGCATACTAGTAACTATGCTGATTTTAGAGTTCTCACTACTGACATAAAAAATACGGGAGTAGTAGAATGCAAATGGAGGTATTGCTGTATATGTATGTGTGTATGCACGCCTATGAGCACACATAGGCCTTTTTGTGTACCTGTGTGTGTGCATATATACGCATTTCCCAGCTCACCAGTAGCAGTGGATAGACCTGGCACTCAGATTTGGTCTCACAGCATCCCCACTAAAAGGAACAAGTTCTTTGGAACTGGAAAATAGCTGATTTCAGGGTAGAAACAATTTGGGCTTGGAATATCTTATTACACTAAAAAGAAAAGGCTTGTTCAAGAAGTGGAGGCATGTCACATGGATGCAGGAGCCTTTTCGAAGGGGTGCTCGTTGACCACATCTGGGACAACGTGAGTGCCAAAATAAGGGTGGTGCTAAGTTATAAAACTTGAAAAACCACTGAAAACACACGAATCCATAAGTCTGTTCTGATTTTAAGGACACAAAAGTGGAGAGAAAGGAGGCGCTGGCTTGCAGCAGAATGCCCAGGGCTGGGTGATGAGCCTGGAAGGAGAGCTGGTATTAGATAACCACAACTCTGCAACCATCATGGCAAGAGCCATCAATGGAGGATAAACTGGGGGGGGGGGATTTTGGTGAGAAGCAGTATATTTGCATTATCTTAAAGTGTCTCCCCACAGACTGCTTATTAGCTAAGGGGGAAAAGTAACCATAAGGTGGAGAAATTGAACAGTACTTTGAGCAAAGGAATCATCACCAACAGTAGTAACGTGGACCTCAGGCACTCCCAGGTGTGTTGTGTGTGGGGGGGGCATGAATCACAGGCAAGCAGGGGAAAATGTTCATATAAGTGGGGTTGATTTTTCTGTTAAGTTTGAAATTATTTCTAAATAAAAATTTAAAAATATAAACAAAAAAGGCACCACAATCTAGCTGTGCACTAAAGGAGACCTCAGATGGGAAACGGGCGGATGGAGAGCCAGTCTTTCTGATAACTTAGGACCCATCAGTGGCCCTGAAGCTGAAAGTGGAGCACCTCAGTTGTTCCCTCTCTCTGGCAGGAGAGGCAAGCTCATGGGTTAGGCTGGGAAAAAAGAGGTCAGAGGGCAAATATAGGTTTAAAAAAAAAAAAAATTACCAGAGCCACACCCAGCTTGGGATGGGGGTGTTGGGGGTAAAGACAGTCCCAGACCCTCACACGTGACGGGCCACGCGATCATGGCTCTCCAAGGATACATGAGTGGAAGTGATGTGTGTCGTCTCCCAGCTGAGCAAGTGTGGCTTTCCCCATGTGCTCCTGGAGTCCAGCGGAGAACAGAGCCACGACAGGGACAGAGCCTGGATCCCCAAATCACTACACGGAGCAGAGCTCCCTTCCCATCCACACACAAGCAACAGCAACAAACACAAGACTGTCATGTGAGTGCGAGAAATAAATCCTTTATTATGTTAAGCATATGTGATTTAGGCATCGTTACAACAGACTGCTCAAACACCATGACGGAAAGAGGCACCAGTTTATCTACAAGAAGCAGTTAAAGTTTATGCTCAGGCAACAGAAACAATGCTGTAATCTGAGATTAAATGCAAAAATAAAAAGATCACCTATGTAGCCCAAGGAGTTAAGTTCCGCTTGCCCAGGCAGACACATCTCATCAACCTTTACTGGTGTTTTCAACCTGCTCTGATCATGACCCTCCACACTCTGAGTAAGAAATACATCTTATACTGCAACCAGGTCTCATAGTTAGATATATGGCTGAAAAGTTTCACAAAACATCATCTGCCTTTACTACATGATGAATTTTTACCTATTTAATTCTAATTTCATTGTGTCGTAATGCTGGTGGCCACCCACTAATTTGATTTCACAATTCACTAATGGGCTGAGACGCACAGTTTGAAAACACCGTATTACTAGGCTCCAAGCATTTTTGTGATCTTCGTTAAGCCACTCCACACATGTGGACAACGTGCGTTAACTAGAAAACAGTTTGCTAGTGAGGATTCAGAAGCGAACCTGACATCAGGTGTTTACGAAAGGACCCAAAAGCTTGAGCAGAAGCCCTGGGGAGCTTGAACAGGAAGAACAGGGACAAGGCTGACTTCCGCAAGAGCTAGCCAATCACACACTTTAAGGCAACTCTACACTCTGCACAATGACAACGTTCCAACGCGCGGGTGGTGCTAAAATGGCTACAGAAGAGAAGGAAATCTTTCACACCTGACAGCTCGTGCTTGCGTGTGGGCATCTGCATGGGTGTGTTTACAAGGAGACAAGGGCTTCCCGAGGGCCCTTCCTGGGTTCTAAGTGCTTTAGCCACACGAGCTCATTTAGAAAACAGACAAGACTCACGTCCACATAGACAATGCAAGAAGCCACGCAAGGGTTTCAAAGGAGCCAGACACATTTCTCCGGAATCCCGGGCAGGCGAAGTTGTCCTCTAGGGACACTTTGAGCAAGTGGCTCATCTCTGCGCCTCAGAGTGCACAGGGAAAACATCACCCGCCACACACCCTGTGCGCCCACTGAGCCTCCCACTGGCATGGGTTCCACACACACCAGGGTGGGGTCCCAGGGCCCTGCCCAACGCGTAGATTTTCTCCTTCTCGTGGGTCTTCTGGTGCTCGGCCAGGGCCAGGCTGAAGTGGAAGGTCTTCCAGCAGCCCTGGCACGCATACACCTTCCTGCCACTGTGGCTTCTGAGATGATCAATGAAATGTGAGATCCACGCAAAGGTTTCCCCACACTCGCTGCACGCGTAAGGCTTCCCTCGGGACAGCCCAGGCTCATCGGCAGCAGGGCAGCCTGCCGCAGGGCCATCCCGGTCCTGCCTGGCCAGGGACCCTGCGCTGTGGCCAGCTGCATCAGGCTCCCTCACGTGGCACAATGGGTGGTTGCTCACACTGGAGACACACTCGGGGCCCTGCCCACCCACATCTTTTGGGCGGGGCCTCTTTCTTCCAAGGCCTTGGTGTGGGGTGGCTGGCCTTATAGCCACAGTAAGGCTCCCCCCAGCTGTGCCCCTGTCCTGGGCTGGCTCCCGGATGACTGACCGCCTGTGGGCTATGGTGACAGGGCTTGGTTCCCCCTCCTGAGGCTCCAGAGCCTTCTGCAGCTGCTCTTCCTCTTCTGGGGCAGCACCCGTTAGGGGGCAAACGAGAATTTCCCTCGTGATCCTCTCCATCAGCGTCTCACACATGTTCTCTTTACCTTCCTGCCACCTCCTGCCGCCTGGAACAAGGTCATGACGTGAGCAGCCCCAACTCCCAGCACTAAGAAGGAACCTGCCACGTGGGCAGGAAAACTAACAAAAGGCACAGGCCAGCAACTGTGAGACAGGACAGGATGCAAAGCCAGAGCAAGGGCGAAGCGGGTGAGGACATGAGGAGTGCTTGGCATGCACACAATCGGTCAATTCCCTCCACAAACCCAGGGGCAACAGATTCAAACAAGATCACTCAGAAGACTGCCACGTGTCCCCCATCTGTCCTCCCTTCTTCGGCAGTCCCTGAGCTCACCACTGCCTGCCTGAAGACAGTCACTCCCAGCATGTCTTGCCCCTGAGGTGGCCATGTGACCGAGTTCTGGCCAATGGGATGTCTGTACAAGTATCAAGTGTGGGGAAGGGGGGGTCTCCTCTTTCCTGCAGCTGTCGATGTGAGCTGCAGCAGCCGTCCTGAACGGTGTGTGAGTAGCCACTGGCAAGGGAGCCATGAGCTGGGAGGAGCCCACATCCTCACCAGGAAGAGCCAAATGAGACCTTGTGCGGTAAACTAACGTGTTACAATGGGGGCCCCCAATGAAGCATGCCTCCTGGGATTCAGGCCCTTGGGAAATCCCCCCCCCAAACACACACATACAACCCGTGTACCATGCACACTGGCTTGACGATGTGACCTACTGTGGTCTATGGGACATTAAGCATGCATGACGCAAGCAAAGGCCCGCAAAGCACCCACATGATGGTGCTTACCCTCCCAGAATGCTCCATGAACCTCGCTGCCACACTTGAAGAAGCTCAAGCTAGCCACTTGGGAGAGGCAACGTGGAGAGCCCAGGCTGATGGCTGCAGCTGAGCTCCCCATCAAGAGCCAGCACTAACTGCCACTGGTTGAGTCAGACCCCCCAGGACATCCCAGCCTAGTCAAGCCTCCGGACGGTACACGGCCCAGCAGCCACCAAAGGGGGAACAGGGGCCCAGCCAATCTCAGTCAATCCACAGGATCATAACAATCAACACTGCTGTTATTCGAGTGACTTCCCTACCTCCTGCTCTGACATTTGGGGTGGGGGTGGCAAAAGTAGGGAACACAGGGTGGGAGAAGAGTGAGGTCAAAGTTGAGGTCTCTGCCAAGACCAACAGAGCTGTGAGGAGTTTCCATCAGCCTCTGAAAGAAAAACACACCCTCCACCCTGGCCTGAGCACAGCTCTCACCTGAGAAGCTGCCTTCTGGTGGTTCTGTTTCAACCAACCGAAGTTCCTCTGTCTCCAGCCGGCAGGCATCATCAGGCTGGGCAAGCTGAAACCCTGAGTGGGATCAAAAAAACGAAAACGAAGAGATACTGAAACCAGACTAGAAAGAGCCAATGCACCTCAAGTCCCACAGGCTGGCCAGGGTGGGTACTGCAGCCCTGATCCTTTCCTCTGCCCTGGGACACCCGCCAAAGCTGCACTGCTTGGAGCGCTGGAGAGCTGGGGGCTCCCAGAATACTGGGAAGGGGTGAAGAAGAGGGTCCACAGAGGAAGAGGGGGAAAGGCCAGCAGAAGTGGGGAAATTCAAGGGAGAGCAGTCAGAAAAAGCCCACGAAACTACAAGCACAAACAGCTCAGAAGTCTGTGTTGGGTGGGGCCTGTATTGTGGGCAAGGATGTCCCCACAAGAGGGAACACCCATGAAGGCCAAGAGGCTCCATAACTGCACCAAGGAGGATGGGAAAGTCAACACACTGGGGCCAGAGGCCTTTCCACATTCAGAAGCTTCAGGTCCTAGAGCAGGGGCTGCAAACCCGAAAGGCTCTGGCAGGCCTCAAATGTGCAGATCGAGAAGGGCAGGGCCCAAGTGGGGACCCTGGCAAACTCGTTCACGGTCAAATACATTTAAAATGCTGTGGGGCCTTAACCAAAGCCCCATGTGGGAGTCGGAAACCCCTATGCCACCGCTTTTGGAAGAGGCTGGAGGGTACAGCAAGAGGCCGTGGGGACAGGTCTCACCCCACAAGAGCAGTTTCCGGAAGGTCTTCAGGTTCTCCTCCGCCGGGTCCAGGTGGCCCCACTCGCCCAGGTACAGAGGCACCTCCGGAAATGTCAACTTCTGAAACGGCACCCCCACCATGGCTGAGGCTTCCCGTGCAGAGGAAGGCTGGACCCTTGGTCCCACGATCCCAGTGAGCACAATGGGGGTGGCACTATCCTGGGGGATCCCCCCGACCACCATGCAGGTCCTGGATCCCGGGTTAACGCAAGGGCAGGGTTTCTTGGCCTCAGAACTATGAACTTTCTTTTTTTTATTCTTAAGACTTTATTTATTTGACGAGACAGAGAGCGAGAGCGCGCACCAACATGCACATAAGCATGGAGCAGGAGCAGGAGATGCAGGCTCCCTGTCAAGCAGGGAGCCGGAATGCGGGACTCGATCCCAGGACCCCAGGATCATGACCCAAGCCAAAAGCAGACACCCAACCGACTGAGCCCCCCAGGCGCCCCAGAACTATGGCCTTTGTTTTGGCGGGGCTTGTCCCGGGCACTGCAGGATGTTACCTGACCTCTTCCCTCTGGATGTCAGCAGCACCCTCCTCCCCAACAGAAGTACTGACAACCAAAGCTGTCTCCAGGCATCACCCAACGTCCCCCAGAGGGGCAAAACCACCCTGGCTGAGAACCACTGCTGTAGAAGGCCCCAAAGTCTCCTATCTCCTCCATCCCTGCATACCACACAGGCCCCAGGCCAGCACCCAGGGGACAGGGGGACCAGGACAGCCATGCTCACTGCCCTCAGGAAAAGCAGCCACCATGACAAAGGCCACGGGGTCCATAAGGTCTGGAGGATGTGTGTCCTGGGCAGAGGAAAGGGCACGTCCAGGCCCAGAGTGCCGAAGGGCAAGGGAGTGGGTAGGGGAGCTGTGGCTAGCAGCGATCGTGCGCCCCGGGAGAGATGAACAGTGCCCTAGTCACGGCCAGAGGGACGAGGGCCAGGGAGCTGCCACACACCGAGTTGGTGGGGAGCTGACAGAAAGGGAGCACTTGTCCAGTACTCCCAAGGGGGCAGTGGCAGCACTCGGGCCCCTCGCTCTGATCCCAGAGACCTTTCCTTGCCTCACCCCCACCCGCTCTCAGCCAGGCTCATCTCTTGGTTTCCTGGGGATTCAGCAGGCTAGGTGTCCAGCCCTGGAAGCTCAGCCCACCCCAGCTCCTCCTGGGGCAGCTGGCGGCATGTTAATGATGGAGGGAGGGAGAGAACCTCACAAGCTAGGGTGACAGATCCTCCTCCTTGGGAACAGGCCCTATGGACAAGACAGAACCCACGCACCTTCGGCTCAACCTTTGCAGGCTTGGCCTCTTCAGTCTTCTCGTCGCCGATGTTCCCCTGTTCCAGAAGCACAGGGTCTAGAGTGGGACAGGCTGGGAGAAGGGGAGACAAAGCTGAGGAGACTGGTTTTACACAGCTGGGCAGCCCAAACCAATGAGGGAGGCCCCACCGCCTCCCTTGCATAGGCCCCAGAAAGAGAGTGAAGAGTTCTCAGACTCCGAGAAAGGGAGGCCCATGTCACAGCACGTCCCAAGAGACCCCCACAACTGTCCTCAACTGACAGAGCAGAGCAAACCAAGAAGAAAGCAAAAAGAAGCTCAAGGTCAGTAGTGGCCCCAGATTTTCGAACTAAAGCCACAAAGCAGAGAACACTTTCATACCCATTAGCTTGGTGGAAATCTTAAATAGCAATGACATACAGTGCTGGCACGGATGTGGGGAAATGGACACCCTTGTACACAGGCACCATATGTGCTACGAAACTTCCACAAAACCACACAGAAATGTCCTTTGCCTAGTGATCCCGAGGAACCCACCTACACAAACAAAACCTCCCACACCAGGTAAAAGCCTGAGGACATTTTACAGCACATTTGTAGGAAGAGGCAGAAACCTTAATGGCAGTAAATCCCAACTCCAGGACAAGGAAGGGCAGATCCTGTGAAATGCCATGAAGGTTAGAAGGATTTGGCACTGGCTATCTGTCCACCACCTGGAGGGGCCTGGCTGGGTGAGATGTTGCTCCACACAAACAGCATGAGCTCAGGCACAAATACATCACCTCCAGGGAAAATGGCCGCAAAACCCTCTGAGCAAGCTCCTGGCTGAGCCGTGTGTGCACGGAAGAGATGTGCAGAAACACATGAAGGTACACATGCCAGGGGGCACCATTTGGTTTAGTTTTAGAGGGCATGTGGGGTGGACAGAGTACTTTTTTCTTCCTATCTCAATGGTTTTCCCTGTTAATAGTAAAGCACATATGATTTGTAATAATCTTTGAAAACAAATTTAATTATAAATACTTGTCACATTCACCAGAGCCTACAGAAAGAAGTCAGCAGACTTCAGAGACCTCGGTTACCTGGCCTCCCCTGGCTCCCATGATAACCTGCATGGCGACTCCCTCCCACCCTCCCCAACCAAACCTTGGCCCATACCCGCCCAAGGGCTAGCTGGTCACTCACAGGTGTCGGGGGATGCCTGGGTCTCGCTGGGTTCCAGATCTTCACTGGCCCTCATGGGCCCACCTGGTAATAACAGACAACAAAGGCTCAGCATGCTTCCCACACTCCCCCTTCCTCAAAGCTGTGGACAGCCCCATGGGAAACTCAAAAGCATCCCTGCTTATACTCAAGGGGGGAGTGAGCCCAAAAGTGAGAGATGTGCTAACAATCACACAGTAAACCTGCAGGGGGTGGGCATGGACATAGGCTTCTGACCCTGAGCCCAAGGCTCCAGGCCCCCATCACCACCAGTCCCTCAGGTTCTGCCCTCAGATGTGGTAGAGGCTCTGCCCACCCAGCCCCAGTGCGCCTCTTCTTACCCTATTGAGGAAGCAGAAACAAATGCCCAGAACGTTTACTCAGTTTTTAAGGGGCTGGTTCCCTTCTGCTTCTTTGTATCTGGAAGGCAGACATGAGGGCAGGAACCCAAGCAGACTTTCTGGCCCATGAGGCAACTCTGAGGATGAAGCCACTGGGCAGGGTGGCGAGGCTGTATCCCCCACCAGCTCAGGGCTGCTCACCTCTGTGCCTCTTATACACGGTGGAGCTCAACTCTCAGGTAAGCCACTGACTGGTTTGGGCTCTATGCTGTCAATTTTACTCCTTCCGGGGCTCACCAACCCAGTTCCCATTTCTTCTATGGTCTGCTCTCCTCTGGGGTGGCTGCCTCACCTGGCTCTTCTAGGGCCTTGGTAAGGTCCTTCACCAGAGAGGCTGCCTTCGTGCAGCTCTCAGGATGCTGTGCCACCACCCAGGGCCGTACTTTGTCAGGCAGGACACTCAGGAACTGCTCCAGCACCAGCAGCTCCAGCATCTGCTCCTTGGAGTGCGCCTCGGGCCGCAGCCACTGGCGGCACAGCTCATACAGCTGGGTCAGGGCCTGGTGGGGCCCGGCGGCTTCCTGGTAGATGAAGTTCCGGAAGTGCTGGCGGGAGAACTCAAGGTCCTTCCCGACGACAGTCTTGGGGTCCTCCTCTTGGTCCTCAGCTGCTGATCCTAGCATAGGCAGTTCTGGGGGAATCAGGGAGCTCCTGGGGGTGGCAAATGCCTTCTCCAAAGGCAACATCTTTCCAAACCTGCACTGGGAAATGTGACTAGCCAAGGACAGGGCACGTGTTGTGGAGGGTGTGTTCATGTAACTGCAGCTGCAAGGGAGAGAGCGGTATGCTCTGGGATCTCCGCCAGAATCCAGACCTGCACAGGACAGAGATGCCCCCACAGTGAGAAGAAAGCCCTGGGAATCCATACCAGAGGAGAGCTCAGGGTACCCTGCTTGTTCACCAGTCCCACCCACTACACCGAGTCCATGCAGAATTATTTCCAAGCAATCTGCTTGTGAAGTAACAGCAGAGTTTTACACTTGTATAGATAAAAGTTAACATAAAAAGTGGGAGGTGGAAACTCATTTTGTAAGACTGGTGTTACCAGGAATTTAAAAAAAAATCAGTCACAGCTAAAAGAAAAGTTACAAGATCTTTCAAAAATGTAAAAATCATAAAACATTACAAAACTCATTCCAACAATGTATACTCAAAGCATGTGATATCATGCCAAATTTGGGTGTATCCCAGACTTCCTTTCACCTATGGAAGGGCTAGGTATCATGACTGTTCCTCTTATTAAGACAACTAAAAATTGGAAACACAGTTGACCCTTGAATACTGGTTTGAACCACATGGTCCACTTAAGGTGGATTTTTTTTATAAATACAGTACAATACTGTAAATCATTCTTCTTTACAACTGTAACATTTTTTTCTCTTATTGTAAGAATACAGTATTTAAAACGTGTTATATACAAAACGTGTTAACCAACTGATTATCAGTAAGGCTTCCAGTCAACAGAAGACTACTGGTAGTTAAGTGTTTGGGAAGTCAAAAGTTATATGCAGATTTTTGACAATGCCCTAACCTTCAACTTGTTCAAGGGTCGACTGTAGATCAGTGAATAACCAGTATCTATTTCTGGAAATGGCACAGGACTGCAGACCTGGCCTGACCCACCCACAGAACCAGGTGGGAGGTATAAGAACTTGGCCAGGAGCAGAGTACAATGGTGGGGGGAGAAGAGACTGTGGTGTTTAGGTCCTGGGAGTTCACGTCCTGCTCGGCCCTCTCCCCACTCCCAGCTGATCCTGATGATCCTGAGAGAAGCTAGATTTGGGATGTTTAGGTGAAATCTCTTGTTTGTAACTGTTGGCAAACACTGAGCAAGGTGAACGACAGAACCCAGCAGGCCACAGCTGGCCAGGCCTCCAGCTATTGGCTTCAGGCTCCCGATGCTTTCCCTGGCTGTGAGCACAAAGGGCCGTGAGTGAACTCCAGCTCCTCCCAGAACCTGCTAGGTCTGCGCTTCTCCCTGTGTAACCAGAAGATCCACAGACCCCACTGGGAGGGAGACATCCCAGACAAAAGCTGCACCCAAACCCAGTGGGAATGCTCTCCTTGTCTGAATCCAGAAACCAACGTTTTCTTCCAAACCATCTGAGAAATTCAAGAAAATGTGTGTGATCACAGCTGTGGTGAGGATGTTTTCTCAGCAACCCCACTCGTACAGAGAAAACTGCAATGCGGGACCAGGCATCAATGACCGCCTCTAGGGAAAGTGAAGATCTGCTCTGACATTTCACCAGGGCATGGGGCCCGAGGGTGTCGGCGCTGTGGGGGTGTCTGATTCCATTTATATGGAGTGTCCAGAACAGGCAAATCCACAGAGATAGAAAGTATACTGCTCAGGGGCTGCCAGGGGCAGAGGGGGTCAGAGTCAGAGTGACTGCTAATGGGCCCAGCATTTCTTCCTGGAATGATAAACTGTTCTAAAATCAACTATGGTGTTGGTTGTACAACTCTGCGAATATGTGAAAAATCAATGAGATGCACGTGTTAAGCAGGTGAACTCCTTTGGTATGTCAAGTATATCTCAATAATAAATGTTAATCATTGTTAAAAACAGAGAGCCAAAAAAAAAAAAGGTTGGCAGAGGCCCCAGGGCCCACTGCTCCCCTCTCTGAGGCTAGAGTCAGAAGACATGCCACGACGGCTCCAGTGGCGCAGTCGGTTAGCGGGCGGTACTTGTAAGAAGACATGCCACGCAGAGTTCTGTTTCAGTCAAGGAAGACACAGCTATGCCACACCATCATTACCCCCCCATCTTCCCCCTCCATTTCCCTCGCACACCCCTACCTCACCCCACCCTGCTCCCTACAGCACTCTTTTCTTGTCCCACACAGGTCTGGGCTCTGAAGACCTTCCCTCCATCCACTCACTCCCTTCTACCTGCCTCCCCCGCTGGAATGTAAACACCAGGAGAGCAGAGATTACTCAAAGGAAGTCTCTGGGCAGAGCCCGGCTCAGTATTTGTTGACTACATAAATTTTTTTTGTCAACTTACTTTAGAGAGAGAAAGAGCACAAGAGGGTGGAGGGGCAGAGGGAGAGAGAATCTCAAGCACACTCCCCCGAGCACGGACCCACACGGGGCTCCATCCTAGGACCCTGAGATCACAACCTGAGCCAAAATCAAGAGTTGGATGCTCAACCAACTGAGTCACCCAGGCGCCCATGCATAAATTATTTTTAAATGGTTCCAGTTCTCTACTGAGAGGCATGCTGGCTATTCCTAATTTTTGTCGGCCATTACCCTCAAATCCATGTATCCGGGATCAGGCTGGGGATGTATTTGGAAGGTAAAAGTAGAAGTGGGATACCTGGACCACTGGGCATGTGCTGTGACCCACAGCAGCCCACAGGAGGCCACCCACTATAGTGGTGCTCACCAGGGGGCTCCTTCCTCACACCTCTGCACCGGGGACCCTCAGACCACAAAATCTGCTCCTTGCACTCTGTCAGTGAGCTGCTTGTTTTTCGATGGCATTTTTTCTCTAGCTCCCTTTCTATTAAGTAATTAAAGTGGTCTCTCTCTGGCTTGGTCTTGCCAGTGTCCCAGTCCATGGCTTTCTTTTCAGTTCACGCTCTTTTGGCTATAAGGTTCTAATGTTTATTGCCAAATTTGCTTTTTTTTCCCTAAATAAATTTCTGAATTCCAAAACTTGTTTATAAAGAGCTTCCTTCCCTACCTCAGGATTAGAAGTGCACACACTCTTGCATTTACTCTGCTAGGGCCACGAGTGGCAAATGCAGGACAGTCTCAGTTCTGACTACTCAACTTTGCCTTGTGGCTAAAGCAGCCAGAGGACCTGTATGCCCTGGGCCTGGCTGTCCCCGTTACAAAACAGGCTGCTGGCTGGCTGTCCAGACTCTAGCTTTTTTAACCATGTTGCTGCCGTTAACTAATCTAGAGCCTCACCCGGCAAGAGAAGTACTGCCAGCTCCACCCAGCTGACACAGCCGCATTTATCCCAACAGGCACACGATACATGGAGCTCTATGCGGCATATGGGCAGATGTGCGGTCACACAAAAAGTAATTTTCATTTTCTTAGCATACCACAGGCATGATCGTTCTGTGTGGAGCCTGTCTCCATAAAGTTACCTTGAACTCGCTAATATGTACGTGCACAGGTCTCATCTCCCTTCATCGGAGCCTCACAAACTGGTCATGCTGCTGCAAGGACCACCAGAACTCTTTCCTGTCCTCAGCTTCCTTGAGTAAAGCCATTCCCCCAAATTCCTCTTGGCTCAGTGACCAGGAGCTACCCACCCCCACCCCCATCACACACACACATCTTGGGGCCACTGGGGATTTGCCTCAGATGGGGATGGAAATTTCCTGGAGCCCAGGCTCCCCCTGTACCCCCACAGACAACTCCTGGGATGCAGAAGAAGCCATGAGGGGGCGGGGGGGGGGAGGGCCGGTGAGCTGAGAGGTCCCCAAACCCTGTGGGCCTCCTGCGGACAAATCCCTCTCACACTGGGCTAAGCAGAGCTCAAGCTTGGCTCCTAACTCCTCAACTCTACTTCCAGGCCTGCCCTGCCCCACTTCCCCCTCTCCACATATGCCCATCTCATTCACAGGGTCTCTTGGCCTCAACCAGTAATTACTTACTCATTACAAAGGGGGAAAAAGTGCCCTTAGAATGAAAAAATGTGGATCAAGGGATCATCCTTAACAGCTCAGTCGTCTTCTATGGTCCCTGCCAAGAGTGCAAACTCTGGATCCACTCCCGAGGACAGCCAGACCCAAATTTAAAAAATGTCCTGCACAACTGGCCTAGGCTTCCCAAAAGCCTCAAGGACAGAACTCCAAAGTCAAGAATTCACAGACCCAACTAACAACACATACATGGCCCTGGACCAGAAAAGGTACGGGACATTGTCGGGGTGCTGGGGGCAATGGGGGACCGACCAAACCCTGGTACGGAGAGAGGATGGTGAGCTGTCCAGCTTAGCCTCCCCGGGGTCAACGAAGACACACAAAAGATGGGAGAAAGGAGTCGGGAAGGAGGGGGAAGGGGAGGAGGGGGAGGAGGGGGAAATTTTCAAAACAAAATATTAAGAGGTGAATCTGACCAAAAGATGTGCAATTCTAAGACCTTTCCTTCTAAGCATTTTTTTTTTAACAAAAGGTCTAAACAGTATCCCCAGTCGTCCCCCCTCCCCCTTGCCGGCTCCTCCAGCAGCAAGAAAGGGAGACCCATTCTTGCCCTTCTCTTGGGCTTCCTGGCCCACCGAAGGGATTCGCACAGCAACAGACGATGCACCCCCGGGCGACTGGGAAGAGGCAGGCGGTCCGAGGGCGTCAGGGAGCCTGGCAGCAGAGACCAGCCCTCATCCCCAGGCCCCACCTCGGTCCCACCCCCGAGCGCCTCTGCACCGCCCCTGGCTCAGCTGAACGCACCCCCGAGCGCGTCTGCACCGCCCCTGGCTCAGCTGAACGCACACTCGGGGAACCTCAGCTCCCTCCCTGCTCCCACCCAGGACGCCACAGACTGCCACTCCCCCCCCCCCAGGGACATCCTCAGCCCTCGAGTTCCCTCTCATAATCCCCTCCCTCTCCCAGGCCGCAAGAGGGGGGTCTCAACCCTTCCCCATTCCCACACCGAAGAGGGGTAAGCCAGGCCCCCCTCTAACTGCGGTCTCTCAGCCCCGTCCTGCCCCGCCCCACACCCTGGGGGATCGCACCCCCACCTCACTCCCACTCCAGGGGCTCCCAGCCTCCTCCCCTCCCCCTCCCCGCCCCACACCGCAGAATCCCCTCCTCCCCTCCCCCACTCGGGGTCGCTCGCTGCCCCCACAGGTCACCTCCGAATGCAGCTGCGCGGCGCACACTCGCGGGACCGCTACGATCCGCTCGGGAAAAGCACATCGTAGCGCCCCCCGGCCGCCTGCCAGACCCACCTCCTGCGTAGTGGTCCCAGGCCGGTTCCAGCCGCCAGGAGCTCGGCGCGATGGCGTTAGGTCAAACTGCGCGTGCGCGCTGGACCTGCGCCGCGGACTACGACTCCCAGAATGCAGCGGGCCGCTCCCCAGGGCGGGGGCGGGGCGAAAAAAAATGCAACGGCTGAATGGACAGCCAATCAGAGGCAGAGCTAGCCTCCCGTGTACCTGCGTCATATTCGATCCATGGCAACGCAGTAAAACTAGTGGAGGGGAAATAAAATACCGCCCTGAGAAGCAGAGACACGGAGAGACTGAGGCACTGAGAGACAGAGACAGACAAGAAGACGCTGAGACGGGGGTGACAGAAACGCGAGACCCCAGAGCCCTGCGTACCCAAAGATGGAGAGAGCGAGGGGCAAGGAGACCAAGAGCCTCAGGGTGTCAGATGGCGGGGTACACAGAGGAGGGCAGGAGACCAGGGGAGGCCGACACACAGAAGCACCGCGAAAGGAAGAAAGATCAAGAAGGGGAGGGCCATTGACGGGGAAACTCAGACCTGGAGAGAGCCAGAGACAGCTACAAGGTCAGGGACAGACAGAAGTGGGTAGTCCCGCAACTGGGAAAACAAAGATAGAGACCCAAAGACGGGAGACCGTGACACAAGAAGAAGCAGAGATGGAGACAGAAACGGTGAGAAGTAGAAACGTGGAAACACAGATGGAGAGACCCAGAGCCTGAGCAAGAGCAGCGGGGACACCCAGACACAGACATACGGAGGCACGGAGGCCCAGGGACGCTGATTCGCTAAAAAGGGAGATTGGTTCTGCATGTCCAGGAACTGATAGAATTGGAAGACTAGCCTTGCTGGGGGCTCAGGAGTCACTAAAACGGAGGGACATGGAACAGAGAGGCCACTGCGGTGAGCGATGTGCTCAGAAGCGAAAGGCGGATGTCATCGCTTCACTAGACGGGACAAACAGGGCGAGGGCTAGGACGCTGCTTCCCATTCCAGAATTTTCTAGATAACAACAGTTTGTAAGACCGATATTTGGGGCAAACTGATTTTTTTTTGAGGGGGGAGGGGCAGACAAGGAGGGAAAGAGAATCATAAGCAGGCCCAGAGTGGACCCCTTGAGGGCGTCCATCTCAGGATTTTGAGATCATGACCTGAGCTGAAATCAAAGAGTTCAAGCTTAACCCGCGAAGCCACCCAGGCACTCCTGTGAAGACTGATTTTTTAAGACGTTTATGTGAACAGGTCATTTTATGTATTTTATTTAAATACAACAACACTCACATTTTTTGACATTCAGTTCTATGAATCTTAACTTGTATAACTACCAAAACAAAACAAAGAATAGATCCACTGTACAACAGAGTCCTTCCTGATGCTCCTCTCTCTCACCCACAACCCTGGCAACCACTGATCCATTTTCCACGGCTACGGTTCTGCACTTTCCAGAATGTCACATAAACAGAATCTCAAAACAGGTGGCCCTTTGAGATTTGCTTTTTTTTCACTGAACATAATCCCTTTGAGTTGTATGGATAATTTGTTCCTTTGGGGGGCACCTGGGTGGCTCAATTGGTTAAGCAACTGCCTTCAGCTCAGGTCATGATCCCGGGAGTCTTGGGATCAAGTCCCACATCGGGCTCCCGGCTCAGCGGGAAGCCTGCTTATCCCTCTGACCCTCTCCCCTCTCATGCTGTTTCTCACTCAAATAAAATCTTAAAAAAAAAAAAAAAAGTTTGTTCCTTTTTATTGCCAAGTACCCTTCGATGGTTTCGATATACCACAGTTTGCTCAAACCCACTAAAGGATGTTTTGGTTGTTTCCAGTATTTTGCTATTACAAATAAAGCTGTGATGAACATTAGTATAAATGTTTGTGTGTGAACCTTCTTAAATCTTCATTTCTCTGGGATAAATGACCAAGAATGCAACTGCTTGGTTATATGGCAAGTAGATGTTTAGTGTTGTAGGATACTGCCATGCTCTTTTCCAGAGTAGTAGTACCATTTTATATTCCCAGGAGCAATATATCTGTGAACAAGTTTCACCACATTCTTACTAGCATTTGGTGTTCCCGTTTTTGTTTATTTTTATTTTTTAAAGTAATCTCTGCGTCCAACATGGGGCTCCAACTTACAACCCTAAGATCAAGAGCTGAATGCTCCACCTACCAAGTCAGCCAGGTGCCCCAGTGTTTTTTTTATTTTAGCCATCTTGATAGATGTGTAGTGACATCTCATTGTCCTTTTAATTTGCATTTCCCTAATGATTAATAATGTTGAACATACTTCCATATTCTCCAACTGTATATCCTCTGCAGTGAAACGTCTGTTCCTGAGTTTTGAGAGATATTTATATATTCTACTAGATATGCTCTTTGTCAGATATATGGTTGCAAATGTTTTCTCCCAGTCTGTAGTTTGTCTTTTTATTCCCTTAACAAAGCCATTAGCAGAGCAAAGGATTTTAACTGAGATGATGTCCAATTTGTCACTTTTTCCTTTAATGGATCATGTTTTTTGTGTCAAGTTTAAGAATACTGCTTAGCCCCAAGGATTTCCTCTTATATTTTTTCTAAAAGTTTTATAGTTTTACTTTTTACATTTAAGTCAATCATCAATTTTGACTTAATTTTTTTTAAGTTTTTTTTTTAAAGATTTATTTATTTATGTATTTGAGAGAGAGAATGAGATCGAGAGAGAGAGCATGGCGGGGGGG